AAAATGAACATATCTTGTTAAACTAAAACTGTTTCTTATAATACCCAAGTGTGAACCTCCAGGTCTGAATAGTGAAGCCAATGTAGAAGTACCTTAAACCTGTGTTTGCAAATGAGAACTCCAGTTGCATTAGAAATAATGGGAAAATGAGACTACTTCTCAGCTGATTTATCACCTCAGAAAACACATTGCTAATGACTTTATGGTCTCAATCGCTAGTTTCAAGTCTTCTTCAACAGCATGATGTTCATTTAGTAAATTGACCCTTCGCTAAGCCAGCCCCCCTTAGTTACTGTTGCTATGTCCGACAAACTGTCGGCGCTGCCACTATCCATTACTGCACTCCCCAGAGAAATATTGTCAAATGTTGTAAAAAGCGATCACAGAAAGAAGCAGACAGTTTTGCAGTTGCATTATACATTTTAAAGTTGTATTTAGGCTGTCAAACTGACTCAAATGGACGTGAAACAAATGTAAGATAGAAGCTACAGACTACTGATCACACAGTACAAGTGAACCACCGCATCCCCTGATGATTGAGACAAAAGACAACGATAGTAAGGATCAACACTGTTCCTGTAAAGCTGGGTAGGCCCCTATTCATTATTACAATCATTAAAAAGCAGATAAGTAGGGCTTTATTACGTTACATTCAGTAGGAAGTTAGCTAGCGTTAGCTAACAAATTACATTAGGAACAATCCACAGGTTTTGGAAAGAATAAATCATACTTCTCCTTTCAACCTCTCTGGGTAGCAACTGTAAGTATTAAAGTGCCACAGGAACAGCGTTTGACCATATCTTGGAATAATACAACGAAAAAAGCTAGAAAACTACTCTTTTTGCATTAGAGTCAATGGAGCACAGCCATGAAAGTGTCGGACCTCAGTTAGAGAGAGTCCTATCCTGCACTGTGATTGGCCGGCTTTGTATTCGGGGTGTGGCTTAGGAAAGGGTCAATTATGGTCCCATTTAGGAGGGAAATTGACTAAAAAACAGGGGAGGCTTTAGGGTGGGACTACCTTGTGATTGATGTCGCTACCATGGCAACCTGTCAATCAGGCTAGAGGCGACTCATATCCACTACTGTGTACAATTAACCAGCACCGTTGAAAAAGCTTATTAGGAGCCGGCTGTTCATTTTTTTCTGGTTACATTTAGTTTTAAGCCTGTTTGTTGCTAGTCAAAATTTGCATGCTAATTAAAATCACATTTAATGTGATTTACAGATTTACCTTGCTAACCAAGCTAGTTAGCGCCACGTCTCATCCAAATATGGTCACGTCCGGTCCCTGGGTGCACAAAACCAAGATGTGATAGTCGAAATGCCAAACTTCAAAGGGCTTCAAAACAGCAGTCCACAAACCAAATGGGGACTTCATGGTGACTTCGTCCACTTTTTTTATGCAGTCTATAGTTATACCACATTAACTGTCCTACTGCCAGGCTTTCCGTGTAGAACTTGTACATTAGAATTTATGGTCCGTGTGAACCTAATTAAAGTGTATTAAGTTAATTATTTGATTTCTAATATGTAGTGAACAAAAAAGTACTGTAAAGAACAGTTCGAATAAATACTATTATTTTTTAGGACAAATGAGAATTCAATTAAATTTTTTTTATTTATATAGCGCCAACTCACAACAACAGTTCTCACTTTTCATAAAAGAGCAGGTCTAGACCATATTCCGTGATGTTATTTACAGAAGCCCAACAATTCCCACCAAGAGCAAGCACTAGGCGAAAGAGGCAAGGAAAAACTTCCTTTTAAGAGGCAGAAACCTCGAGCAGAACCATGGCTCAGGGTGGGCGGCCATGTGCCTCGACCGGTTGGGGGTGAAGGAGAGAGAGAGAGGAACAGAGAGAAAGAGAGAGAGGGATGGAAGAAGAGAGAGGGGAGGGAGGCAGCCTACACAATATACACACAGAGGTACAGACAGTAAAGGTGATGTTGCTAATGGACTAAATGAATAATGGTACAGATATGTATAGTAGTGTTAATGATAATAATCGTAATGTTAGTGATTATAACAACAATAAGACTAGTAACAATAGTTGTAGCAGAGGGTGTCGAGCAGGAACACGGGGGCAGCAGGTGACCCGCAACCACAGATCCAGACTCCACAGCTCTAGAGCCAGAAACACCTGCAGGAAGTGATAGGAGGAGAGGGACGAGAAAGCACAAGACTATGGGAGAGGGAAGAAGTCGAGTTAGTAACATGCAATAATGGGATGATGTTGCATACAGAGGGAGAGAAAGTAGAGGAGAGAGGAGCTCAGTGCATCATAGGAAATCCCCCGGCAGTCTAGGCCTATAGCAGCATAACTAAGGGATGGTTCAGGACTCACCTGAGCCAGCCCTAACTATAAGCTTTATCAAAGAGGAACGTCTTAAGCCTACTCTTAAATGTGGAGATGGTGTCTGCCTCCTGAACCCAAACCGGAACCTGGTTCCACAGGAGGGGAGCTTGATACCTGAACGCTCTGGCTCCCATTCTACTTTTGGAGACTCTAGGAACCACAAGTAACCCTGCATTCTGGGAGTGCAGTGCTCTGGTGGGGTAGTAAGGTACTATGAGCTCTTTAAGATAAAATGGTGCCTGACCATTAAGAGCTTTGTAGGTAAGAAGAGAATGATTTTAAATTCTATTCTGGATTTTACTGGAAGCCAATGCAAAGAAGCTAAAACAGGAGAAATGTGATCTCTTTTCCTGGTTCCTGTCAGAACATGTGCTGCAGCATTCTGGATCAGCTGAAGAGTCTTAATGGACTTTTTCGAGCAGCCTTTTAATAGGGAATTGCAGTAATGCAGCCTAGAAGTAACAAATGCATGGACTAGTTTTTCTGCATCATTTTTAGACAGGATATTCCTGATTTTCGCAATATTACGTAGGTGAAAAAAGGCGGTCCTTGAAATTTGCTTAATGTGAGACTTGACATGTCCTGATCAAAGATAACTCCAAGATTCCTCACGGTGGTGCTGGAGGCCAGGGCGATGCCATCAAGGGAAACTGTATCTTTAGATAATGCGTCACGGAGGTGCTTGGGCCCCAGAACAATAACTTCAGTTTTATCTGAGTTTAACATTAGAAAATTACAGGTCATCCAGGTTTTAACATCCTGAAGGCACATTTGAAGTTGATCTAACTGATGAGTTTCATCTGGCTTGATCAATAGATATAACTGAGTATCATCTGCATAACAATGAAAGTTTATGGAATATTTGCTGATAATATTGCCTAAAGGAAGCATATATAAAGTGAAGAGGATTGGTCCGAGGACAGATCCTTGAGGAACTCCATGACTAACTTCGGTGTGCATGGAGGACTCATCGTTAACATGTACAAACTGAAATCGATCTGATAAATAGGACTTAAACCAGCTTAGAGCGGTTCCTTTAATGCCAATGAAATGTTCCAGTCTCTGTAATAGGATCTGATGGTCAGTGGTATCAAATGCAGCACTAAGATCTAATAAAACTAGTACAGAGACAAGTCCTTTGTCTGATGCAATAAGGAGGTCATTAGTAATTTTCACCAGTGCCGTCTCTGTGCTATGATGCGCTCTAAATCCTGACTGAAAATCCTCAAATAAACTATTGCTCTGTAGAAAGTCACACAGCTGTTTGGCAACTGCTTTCTCCAGGACCTTAGATATAGGTCTATAGTTGGCTAAAACATCTAGATCAAGTCTGGGCTTTTTCAGAAGAGGTTTAATTACAGCTACTTTAAAGTACTGTGGTACATAGCCTGTTGATAAAGATAGCACAAGAAAATCAATCTAGTGTATGCGGTCCAATGCAGTGAGGAATGCACAGACCTGTATATTGGGGAGACTACCCAGATAGCAAAAATCATGCGGCCCAGATCCTTCATAAGTTCTGGGCCAGATCTGTAAAACGGACCCGGGCCGGTGTCCTTTAGCACAACGGGCCAATGCCGGCGCGGATCCGGTTTTCACATCTGGGCCGGCACTGGTCCAGCTCCAGAACGGATGACAATTATGTAGTCATTTGGCCCAAATGTGGGCCAGATCTGGACCAGTTCCATACTGGATCTGGCCCAGAGTCTCTAAGATACTGTTGAGGATCCGGTTTTCACATCTGGACTGGCAATGGGCCGGCTCCATTTATTAGTTCTGGCCTCTTTCAAAACCTTGATCTATACCCACAAAACATATACAAAAATGTGGATTTTTGTTATGGCAGGAGCTGGTCTATATAATTTATAACAAATAGTGACTCGTATATCACTAAAGGTACACTAAGATTTCTTGTTTTACTTTCGTTTTCTTTTTCCTTGCATTTTAAACTCGATTACTTTTTTCTTTTGAATTTAAAAAGCATGGACAGTCAAAACTACTGTTACAAAGACTGTTTCTATTTGTCCTACACAGAATTTCAACAAAGAAAGTGATAGAACGGATGAGTGACATTTAAAATTTTATTTAAAATACACATTTTAAATTTTATTTGAAATGTTTGAGATAAAAAGAGGACAGAAACTTAAAACAAAGTAGATAATTGCCAAACTAACAATCAATCTAATAAACACATTTTACAACTCATTTCTGTCTTTAACAACTGTAGGAACAAGAAACTTCACTCCAGTTGACTTGCAGGTGACAATTAGTTTTTAGTAACTGTACAGTAACCACACACCTATGACACAGGTGTTATTTTTAAATGAATGCAGAAGTATTAAACTCTAATAATAGCAACATTGTGGCTTAGTTAAAAAGCTCAATACATTGACATTGCTATCAGTCTTGCATAGTGTAGTGTACCATTAATAATGATGGTAAGAAAGTAAGATTTCTTTCTCCCTGAGAAACATAAAGCTAAAGCCAGGAGACACACGAGATTCTACGGCCTAAACACACAAGATAACGTTTTAATTAGTGACAAGCAATAAGTTTGTCCTGATAGATGATTACTGCCAGCCATTTAGATTTTAACCATTTTCCATGACCCTGGTTTAAATAAAGATTTTATAGCCAAAATACAATATCCAACTCCGACTAGTCATGTGAAACCCTGAAAAAAATGTAAAATGTTCATACACATTGTTTGGTGGCTTTACGGGAAACATTGATGAGGCAAGTGGAGAAGTGGGAATGCCATAACCCTCACATGACACCCAACAAATCATCAGTAGTGGAAGAGTGGGGGATGGCCGATGTGTTCATTTCTGCAAAGGATAAAAGAATGGGTGATTACTCAACTGATAATGGCAATCACAAATTATATAAAATCCACAGAGATTAGTAATTTTAAAGGGGGCTGGACTAGACTAGGGCTGGAAGATTTGACCTAAAATCAAAATCCCGTGAACATTTTACCGCGATTACAACTAATGAATGATTTAGTTTTTTTTGCCCTCCTAGTTCACTGACCAGGCTTGTACCGCAAACATGCTCGACTATTGTAGGTGGGGTGGTTTTTTTAGACTCACAAATGTCAAAAAACAATTAAGTAAATGTTAATTGATAAGATAATGTTGAGGTGCACACAACAGACGTACTCCCCCTAAATTTGGCATATTGCCACTGCTCACTGAATGAGTGCCGCTACTAATATTTCACATGATCAATTAATATCAATGTGCATTAATCTCGTATAACAGTGTTGTGTGCATGTGACCAAATGTGAGAGAGTGAGCAGCTGAAAGTGACGGTGAAAGTGAGCGAGGTTGTTAAGTGTGGCAGTAAATGATCAGTGTGGGTCAAAGTGTGTCCATAAATAAATGCTGCTGGAAAATGAAGGCAGTTAGCACTAGCTAACATCTCCCTGTGCTCCAGACTCTGGGAGCTGAGCAGGACGGATACACTGACTACACAGTTTTTTAAGGCGAAAGTACATAAACACACACACACAGGTGGACATTTTAACAGGAAATAAAACAACTAAATAACTGAAATGGTAAAATTACAGCTGTTAGAGCTCGGAATTTGGGTTTCAATTACTTCAATTAGACGTCCAGCCCTAGAGGAGAGACATCATGAAAAACTCCCCTTTTCTCTCCCCATTTGGGTATCAAACTGAAATAAGACAACCCAGACAGATTTTTGTGGGTTGCCTAGATCACAAAACATGTGCTTCAACAAGCCATTCAGATTTGGTTCTCCTTCCTATGTCACATGCAGGCTTATTAGAATATAAGATAAAATAAGATACAACTTTATTAAACCACCGCCTTCCCCATCTGAGTATCCCCACTCAAGGTTAAGTACCATCTTTGCAAAGCAGTGGCATATTTTTCTCGCAAGCCAATCAGAGCAGACTGAATGGAGCGTTTCAAAAAGAGGGTAAATACAGATTTACCACGGTTAATGCCTCTCTGGCCATGGCACGTTCTTTGCAGCCACCTCCACGGTCAGAGGCCAGGTTGAACCAGCGGATGGCGTGCTGGTTAATTTTGTTGTCCGATGCGCTGCTAGCAGCTTGGTTCTTCCGTACAGCCTCTGTTAAGAGAGAAAGTCAATTGGTTGATGAGCTGTCATTAACAGACATTTTGAAAATGACCTGTAAGCCAAGCTAATAACCAACTTTTTTGAGAAATGCTTTAGAGGGTTGAAAAAAGTACTCAATGCCCATGTTTACTATTGTTGGTGTGGCAGTAGACCAAATTTTCTATAGCATTTAATTTAGTAACTCAAAACAAATAGAATTTCACTTATGAATAACTAATTATTAAAAAAATCATACTGATTATGAACTGAACAATTATCAAATCACATCTGGATTGTATTGGATCAGCCTTAAATCTCAGTGCATCTTATCATTACAAATTTATCTGTGTGGATTCTGTATCAGGTCATGGAAAGGCATTGGCGGGTACCAACATTTCCACAGTATCTCCAGGCAGAGGACATTTAGGGGAATCACGTTTAGTAAAAAAGTAAAAGCTCAATTCAACTCCATGTAAAACATTACAGCAAACAAGCTTCTCGTGCTTTTATTTTGCTGGCAAATCTACAAAGAGGAAGTGATTATGTGAGTAACCGGTGCTGTCATGACCGAGATCTATTTCACCACCGCTATCAAAGTATTTTTTTATTTTTTGGCTTTAAAGTTACATCCCTGATATATTAAAATATACTATTTAAATATTTTATTTTACATAAAAATTTGTTCTCATCTACTAGTCACCTCCACATGTAATACGTATACTAAAATACTTACTGATCAACAGAGTTCTTGTTAGCATTTCTTTAATATATTTATTTTCCCTTTACTCCTTTCCAATTAATCTGTTTGGCCACTGTGTTTGAGAAAACCATTGAAAGTATATTCCAAGATTGAACAGTAAATACTATTAACAGAATGTTCTGTGAAAGTTGCTAAAATAAGGATGAAAGAGCACTGTATGCAGATCGGTGGTGAAGTTACTAGTACAGCAGAGCTGACCGGAAGTCAGACAAAATGTAAAAAGTAGTCAAAACACACAAAACATTTTTTACATTTGAGAGTTATGTGTAACGTTACCTGTATCTATATAATCATATGAAAAGGACAATAAAAAAATTAAGACCTTTGTAAATAAATGTAAGAGCCTTATTGAGAATATTAAATTCAATGAGTTTTTAAATTATTTTAAGACCCAGTGGGTAACGTTGCCCTGCATGAAAAAATGACCCCAGGAGCTCAGCTCTGCTAATGTTACAGGTTTGCACTGCATTGTGATTTTGGAACAAACCACAGTGGTAGTAACGTTATGTCAAAGCCTGCAACAAACAAATGTGAGGCAAATTAAAAAGAATGAATAATGCTGATTGTACCACTGCCAGCCATCTCAGTGTACTGATATCATGAACCTCATTGTAATTTTTAACTGTACAATTTTATTAATTACTGAGAACCATCAGCCTCTAGACAAAATAACATTTCTTACAGCTCCTGACAGAAATCTGAGGGTAAACACTTGGTAAGCTTAACATAGCACACTATATCCCTCAGAAAACGCCCCAAATAAATATCCAGAATGAATCAGGAACTGCTCCTCAACCATAATACCGCAGTGTGATTTCATACAAAGTCAATTAAAAGACATGGAGAGATGCGATTTCCCGCCCATAGACCTTATTTGTCATAATGAATTTACGTTTTGATTAATGTCAGATGAAAATTCCAACTTCTTTAGATGGCTTTGATTTTTTAAACACTTAACTTACCTATCATAACTTTATGCTTAAATATAGCCAAGATTTGAAAATCAAAGCCAAAAATACTTAAATTAACTTACCCTATAATCCCGGGCTCTCAGCCAGGGGTGAAGAATAGATTGAACCTAAAAAAGGAGACAGGTGCTGTCAGTTGGTGCTGTTGGAAACTAACGTTACAACATCGTTGTAAGTTAACTAACGTTAAACAGCATTAATGTTTTATGCTAGCTGCACACAAAGTTGTTTATTAATGCTAGCTAGCTTAGCTATCTGTTCATTCAGTTAATTTAGCTAACCCAGCTAAAAAGCTAACGTTAGCCAATGCCTCTTCAACAGTTTTAGCTATTTTAAGAAGTTAAAACCCGGTCAAAACATTCCGATGTGACGATGTTAACAAGCATTACACCACTATTAAAAACAATCTCACTAAACTGTTTGACTGTAACATCGTTCAACTTACCGTTATAAACTCTTTCCCCAAAGCTTCCAGTCCGAACTGATCCAAAGAAAGGCAAACAGTTCGTGCGCTCGTTCTGACGAGTCCAGGGCAGAACTATTATGATTCCGCCGACTGATGGAGGCTCACGCCCACTCCTGAGTGTACACAGACTACATGCGGGCCGTATCTGGAACGGGGCAGTAAAATGGGCGTGACTGTTACACGGATCTGCCGGTTTGGAGGCGGATTCGGCCCAGAGTCAGCTGCTATCTGGGTAAACAACCACTACACAAACGCATGGCTCAAGACAGAAGGGCCAATTCCTCAGGTCAAGACTCTGCAGTCTACTTACATCTGAAGGACAGGGACACTCGTTTGAGGACCACCAGGTGCACATTTTAGACCGAGAAGATGGATGGTTTGAAAGAGGTGTGGATGACCCTGGCCAACGACCCCACTGAGGTTAAATAGCTGAGTTTCCCTGCCAGTCAGTCAGAACTGAAGAAGTCCTTTGGATGATGGACGAAACGTCTTCCAGTATTTTTAACCAAGTCCAGTTGCCCTTGATTTTAACCTTCGTTGGATGCCAATGATCAACAAAGCCCACATCGTTTGCTGGACACCACCTTGACAACCAGCGGTGGAATGACGACATGCGGCTATACATGTCATCACGGTCAGATTTGGCAGGGGTCCGGGAAAACTACGGTGTCAGACATTGTTTTTGCACATGTACACAACGACTCAACATTAATCTTAATGACCGCCGATTGGCGTAACCGGGAGTCATTACCGCCGACGTGAATAACAATCTTACTGTATTTACGTTTATCCTTAGCCAGCAGTTTCAAATAAGACTCAATGTCGCCCGCTCTGGCCCCAGGGATGCATTTAACTATGGCCGCTGGCTTCGCTAACTTCACGTTTCTCAAAATGGAGCTGCCAATGATCAGAGTTGGTTTCTCAGCGGGTGTGTCGCTGAGTAGGGAAAATCTGTTTGATGTGAGACGTGAACAGGTTGATGGTGCCCCGTGGGCTTTGAATGCTTACAACTATTCCTCCTTCGGACAGTCACCCAGCCACCCCTTCCTGGCTGCTCATTAGATGCCGGGGAACGGCTACCACAGGCTAACTCAGGCCATTCCACACCAACTACCGGGGACTGGCTAGCTACAGTAGCTAAAGACTGATCTACCAAGGTGCGGAGCCGGACTTCTAAATTACTGAGCCTCGCCTCCATGTCTACAAATAAACTACACTTATTACATGTACCATTACTGCTAAAGGAGGCAGAGGAGTAACTGAACATCTGACACACCGAGCAGGAAAAAGTAGGAGAGCGAGATGGAGATGACATCGCTAGCTGCTAAGCTAAAGTTGCTAACAGCTAAGCTAAAGTAAAACTTTTGAACTACTGAGATTGAACAGCAGTCACCAAAAGATGGAAAGAAGTGTGAGTGCTTAGGCAAAATTACTGTAAGAATAAGTGTTTAGCGGACAGTTGGCCGCTATAATCTAACAAATTTAACTGGTATTTAGCGAGAGCAGCACAACACGCTACCAACACACAAGCACTGGAAACGGAAATGAGTCAACACGCTTACCGCAGTACGTCAGCAACACGCCCACCAGCCAGTCAGTAGAGTAGGCATCTTTTATTTAATGTGTTTTTATGTTATGTATACTGTATTCATTTCACTTGTGCAATAACTTAACAGCCAAAATTTTATCCTATTCAAATAATCAACTTTGGGTATCTACTGAAAATACACGACCAGCTTTAATAAACTATTGAGTTGCTCTTGGCAAAACTTCAGTACATGACTTTTCCTGTATCTTTAAACAAACATGAGCTGCTCTTCACCCAAACATTTCAGAGAGAAATGGAGAGGCAGAGACAGAAGTAAAGACAGCAGTTGCACGGTAGCGGTCTCACACTTGTCACCATCAAAGGTCACAGTGACAGATCTTACATTTCTCCAGCCCTTTCTTCCCTGTACCATCTCCTCTTCTCTCTCACTGTCTCATCTCAAAGTCGGGCTTCCTTAGTGTGTGTGTGTGTGTGATAGAGGAAGCGCGAAAAAGGAAGAGAGAAGTTGAAAACTTTCCTGTGCATGCGAGTGTTGAGATGAGAGGAAAACTGAGATGAGTGTGTGTGTGTGTCTCAGAGTGAGAGCAGAACGGGGAGATGAGAGGGGAGTGTAAGCTGTCATATTTTAGGTGAGATGCAGGTTCATGCTGAGGTTAGATTTTTCTCAGGGGTCTGGTGAACCTGCTGAACCAGAGATCTAAAAAACGTAAAGAGACGAGAAGATGGACAGATTAACACCATCCTACCAACTAACCCTCCCTGTAGGCTCGTATATGGCTGCGTTCATTGTGTGTAAATTCAATTTATCAAGGCTATCCAATGTCTAGCAGAGTCACTGAAGTAATAACCTGTGAAACATTACAGTAAGAAAATGTTAGTGATTCTATTTGATTAATGGTATTGGAATTTGAATTAATGGTAATCTAGCCATTGAGATCAGCAGTTCAGTCCCCGGCTCCATGTCAAAGAGTCCTTGGGCAAGACACTGAACCCCGAACTGCTCCCGATGGCTGTTCCATCGGTGTATGAATGTGTGTGAATGGTAGTTCTGTTTGAGTACTTACGCTCAGTGTGTGAATGGGTGAATGTGATGCTGCAGCACTTTGAGTGGTTGGAAGACTAGAAACGCGCTATACAAATACAGAGCAGCATTTAACTAGCTAGTAACAGCAGCCAATTAGAGAGCAATATTCATTATTCAGGATGATTAAATACAGGTAAAACACCTAAAAACAATCAACCAAGGTTAGTCTAGTCCAAACAAGACAGAAGAGGAAGAAAATTTCAAAACAAGAAACACCATCCCCCCCCCCCCCATTTCCAACAAATAATTTTCAATAAATGGAAACTTACACAACTGCTACCCCTGAATCAATATGCCTCCTTCAAATATCATGCCATCTTAGTGTCCGCTCCAGTAAAAGTGTCTGATTGTCAAATATTATCCACCTGTCTGATTCAGTCCTTTGATCTAGAGCGGGTTCTCAGCCTCCCAACCCACAAAGCTGGTAAGGAGCTTGACCTCGTTCATGTCCAAAACTGTGCTGGTCACACCTCTTCACATGTCTGACCACTATTTTATTAAGTCCACTGTATGCCTACAGGATTTGCCTTCTGTTCCAGCACTGTATGTCTCACACCACCACAACCTCCACAAACTGCCACTCACTTTGCCTCAGTGGTAGCTTCTGCTCTACCTCCCCTCAACACATTTCCTCACTTGAGGTCACTGATGCCACAGTTGGGTCTGGGGCGATTCGTCAACATAGTTGACGTAATCGACTCGCATTACGTGCGTCGAAGCGTCGCTGCATCCTGTGTTAGTGGGATTAGTGTGCCTTCGACTGTATAAAGTTTGGGAGTATTTTAGACAGACACTCAATTTGTTGCTCCGTGAGCTTCACTGCAGCAACTGCTGTCCACGAATAGGTGAAGCAGCATGAACACGTGAAGTGAAAGTATCCTGGAGCACTGATGGCAGCACCGCAAATAGTGTTTACTTTCTGTCTCCACTCGAGCACAGCACATTATCAGCACGAACACACGTAGTCCGTTAAAATGTATTTTCTACGCATTTGCTCATCGCCTTCATGTTAAAAGTAATTTCCGACCCCCTGCTGTCACAACGTTACACTGTGTGTCATCTAACGTTCGGCCGTTTATTTAACAGCCACGTATGAGCGAGAAAACAGCTGAAACTAACATTACAGACAATCTGTGACTGTCTGCACAGTCTGAATTATTTTGGTTGTTTTCTTTGCCCCACACTAATGCAGAAAGACATTTGGTTATCACACTGAATTACTCAATATTGAAATAACTCCATGTCCAAGTTTTAAAGAGGTGGTATTCTGCTTTTTGGCTTTTTCCTCTCCTTTGAGTTATATCTCTTTTTTGTGCATGTAACAGGTTTGCAAAGTGAAAAAGCCCAAAGTCCAGCCCAAAGGGAGTTCCCATCTCCCACAGAAAGTTCTGCTCTGAACCGCTTGAAAACAGCTCGTTTGTTGTCCAGCCCTTCACTTCCTTTACTTGTGATGTCACAATGAAAACGCGTCATAAAGCTTGCCAAGCGGCTAGCGGGTCAGGCACGCCCTCAAACCAAGCTAGTCTGAGCGGAGGCCCTTTGGCTCAACTCGCCTTTGTTTGGTTTTCCATTGTAGAAATGTTGCACCTGTACCTGCTTCCAGGTACTTTTTTTCGTATCACCTCACCTCCATTGAGGTTCCAAGCGAGCTGAGGGAAACTAAAATGTAACGTGAAAACAGACAGACTGCTGATTGGTCAGAGAGAATATTCACCATTCACTGCATCATCATTGCTGCACCAGACAGAGACCAGCAACAGAAAGTTTTATAGTTTCGTCTGGAATTTGATCACTAAATCCACTTCTGAGAAGTTTTGAGGTGAGAAATCAGCTGTCTAGATTTCCAATATTGACAGTTTTAGAGAAGTGATGGCGGAACAAAAACGTGCTTGAATATTTTCGGAGTTGAGGAGCTCAGCAAGTGGCTGCGGGGGAAGCCTACTGTGACCCGCGGGAGGAGCGTGTGAGGCCGGCCAGCCGCCCGCTCACAGAGCGCTCTGCTCCCGCCGTCACACAGACCGCTGCAGCAACAACGGCAGAGGAAAACACAGCTGGAAGGTTTTCATACCACTTATCTGTCTTTACATTCTGAGGAAGGTTGAAACGTTTCAACTTAAAAAAGAGAAAGCTGTGTGGATCGCTGGTGTGTGTGTCGCATTGAACATTACGTCGCAGCAGTTGTGTGTGGCGTCGCTATGACGACAAGCTACGTACTTCCTCTGGGTACTATCTGCAATGGAAAACGGAGCAGGGCCGAGCAGAGTCGAGTCTATTGATTTGCGCTATGGTAGCATTTTTCGGCAAGGCAGCATAGATCATCAGAACACCGGCAACAGTTCAACGTTTAGTCCTGATGGTCAGATGTGGAACAATGATGTTGTGGACTTGTGAGTAACTTATACCAT